CGTCAGCCTTTCCCAGAGAGTAGCTGCCCTTCCTCCCTTGGTGTGCCTTGCATGGATCTGGCTCACATGCTCTCTCCCCAAGAACCCACACTTGAAGACAGTTCTGCAGGGTGGATGCGTTGCCCAGTGTTGCTGCTAGACTTCTCCTGGACGGAGCTCATGATCCTTTCAGATGTTACACTTGACTCCTCTGTTCTTTAGAAACCTGTTCACTCTCTTCCACAACATTAACGAAGACCACCCCCCCTTTTCTCTACTGTGAACCCAGTGCTGTGCTGATCTCCATGCAACATTACCTCCTATCTTAAGGAGCACCTGTTGTTCCTACTTATAGATGAAACTCTTGAGGGTCAGAGGTTAAGTAATTGGCTTCATGGCACCTAGTAAGTATAGGATTGGGATTTAAATTCAGATTCCTATCATGCTCTTTCCCCCACACCAGCATATTTACCCCTCTTCCAGTGTCCCTGTTGCTTGAGAACTTCTCAGCTTCTCTGCCCATTGTGGTAGCCAGCTCTGGTGGCTTGTACTTTTTAGACTGTTCTTTTCTGACTATTCTCCTGGGCTCTGATAATTTTGTTCTTCAGTTCTTTGATTTTCTTCCAACTTTACCTATTGCTTGTGCAGAGATTCAAGGAGTTGGGAAATTATTTCACCTGATGAATCCAGGCTGGCTCACAATAGGACTGCCATCCTGCTTTCTGATCCCCAATCACTGGACTGGGTCTGATGGATGGGCGTATGCTTTAGGGGAAAGAAAGACAAGTTTGAAATTAGGACTATTTGAAAACATACACTTCTTCTTGAAAAGGAAAAACTGGTCTCTTGAAACCTTGGCTTGTTGCCTCTTAGAGACTCCCTGGTGGTTGCTTTTTTATCTGTCCACATGTGCAAGACTTAGTGTGAGTCGAGAGCCCACAGAAGCTCCATATTTCCATCTGCTGGTCTTGCTAGCCAGGAAGTCCCTTAAGATATATAAAATATCCTAATAGAATGTCTTTATGTAGATCTATAGTCTTATTTGGGTTGATAAGAGGCTTTCAATGTAGAGGTGAGAGGGGTTGGGTTTTGGATGAATTGTTGTTTTTTGTAATAATGGTTTGTTTGTTTCTCTTATCCTCTCCAGAAATTGATAATTATCATTGTGGTAGTAGTGGTGTTGCTGGGCATTTTAGCATTGATTATTGGACTTTCCGTTGGGCTGAAGTAATGGCGGCCCGAGTGGTTGCTGCACTGAAATGTAAGTAAATGGAAGGGTCTTGGGGATTCTGGATTGGCTCCCTCTTGAGAAATTGGCCTGGGATTTCACATGGCAGTGCTCCTCCCTTGGACACACTGAGCTCTCTCAGACTTTCCATCACCTGTGCCTTCTTTCATCTCCTTGAAATACTCTTCTGGGCTTCTGGTGCCAGGGAAAGTTCTCTTCGGGGCCGGGCTCCTGTTGGTTCCTCTCCTGGGGACTCTGTCCTAGCTCTTTGCCTTCTACTGTGTGTTGCCACCTGTCCTGGCACACCTGAGCACCACATTTTCGCTCCTTTTGCTTGGAAAGCATGCTCCTAATTGGGTACAATCTATGTCCTGAGTCTGGTACAATCTATGTCTTCTGAATTCTGGCTGACTTTCATGGATGTTGGGCTTGCTTTCCATACCCTTTTTAGTGTAAACAAAGCTTTGGATTGGAGTTTGGGGTGGTGGGGTTTTGTTTGTGGCTGATGGGTTGGATCTTGAATGATATAGCAGTTAACATTTTTGAGTGTTGAGTTGTGCCAGACCGTGTATTGAACACTTCATACACACGTCCTTGAGTCCCCACAACACCTTCTTGAGGTAGGTACTGTTGTTTATCATATTTTACAGACGAAGACACTCAGGCTTAAAGAGATGTTAAGTCACAGGGCCAAGTTTGAACACACAGCTGATGGTGGGCCTAGGAGAGTTCTTTCTTACATCTTAGCTTCTCTTTATAAAACCAGGTAGCCATTTATCATTGTCTACAAAGTCCAGAGAACCTTGAAGGAGAGTAAGTTTAAAATTTAGGCTATTAATTTCTTTAAATATGGTAAAAAGAATAGAGCTGACCACTGAGTCAGGGCTTCATGTGCATAGTAGCAGCACAACAGGAATGATCTAATTATTGGCACTGTTTAACACTTTTGTGACTTCTTAAATATTACTTTTCTGAATAAAATATAGGATGTAATATTAACAAAACATATAAAACACAGGAAAGGTGAGCTGAATTAATTTTTAATGTTATTGCTGATGACCTTGTGGCACGTTCACACATTGAGACATGGTTTCACAGACTTCAGACTACATTATCGATGGTTTTAGATCCAGTTCAAAAATCCTATGCATCATTCCACATCACTGAAATCTTTTTGTAAATCTAATTTTCAACACAAGATTGTGAATATACTTTCAATTATTTAATACTTCCCCAAAGTTGGAGTTTTGTGATTACTGTGTTACTATAATTAACAGTATAACCAACCTCTATTTTTCTCATTGCTCTTTTCTCTTATGAATTCAGAGAAGTCAGGTTGCTGAGGTAATAGATACCAATGTCTTTAATACTTGACACATACTTCCATCTTGGTACCGAGACCTTATTCTTCTCTTCATTTCTGCTTCCATGTGCCTCTTCTTCCTCCTTCCTCCTCCCATGTGACCAGAGGGTCTCGAAGTCAGATATTTATAGCACTAAACATCAACTTCTTCTTGAGAATGTAAATGAATTCCTTTTTTTAATGAGGAGACTAATTAATGTATTGTTTTTAGTTGACTTACCTGATCTCCAAAATGCTGTGTCGTCGCTGAGCAGTGTTGGGCTGTTTACTGTAGTGTGTTTCATAAAGTTGGGACTGGTTGCTGCTTTTAGGTCTGGACCACCCCACCCCCCACTGTGGCCTGAGGGCAAGAGGTCTCTGAACAGGAGGGAGGGAAGACAGCCTTCCTTTGACTCCCCAGTTGTGTGCCAGGTACTGTTTTAGGATAGTGACGTTGTCCGCATTTTCAGATTGGAAACTCTTCTGAAGCACAGTGAAGTTAATAAACTTGCCCAAGCCTACCCAGCACTTAAGATGGAGCAGCCATGATGACCCTGAGCTTTTCTTTATTCTTTTCACCGTGTAAGAGAAGTGCGGAGTAGGGGAGTAACGGAGAAGATTCAAATTCTGGAACTTGTATTTGAAAAGTGCTGATGAGGTCCTCGTAGAGAGAACGGGTACCTTTTGTGGATCGACTGTGCCACCCCCTGGCAGGTCCTTCCACGGGAATGTGACAGCCTGTGCGAAGGATTATAAAAAGCCCAGGGATTTATTTTTAATACGGCTTTTTGTTTCTTTCACGACAGGATATTTATTCCTGGGTCCTGTCTTGGGTTTGTCTACAGGATTTCTCAGATTTACTGTTGACTTCTCCGTTGCTCTCCTTTTTGCAGTGATGTCTGATCTTCCGTCTCCACCTTCTAGGTTTGTGCCTGCGTGTTAATGTTGTTCCCCACCTCCATCCTGTGTACTGATCAGCTCCTCCTTCCCCTGCCTCTCCTAGAACCTGATTTCACTCCAGCCTGGTGTGGCCACCCTTGTCTTCAGATGGGAGCAGAGTTTGAATGGACTTCCTGAGAGAGAGTGCGACCTGTTCCTTTGTTTCCTTGTAACCGTCCTTGGACCTCACCCAGCAAACAATTTAGCCCCAGAGGAAGCTAATCTACCTGATGCAACCCTGAGTTCTCCTCAAAACCTTCTCCTGCCCCACCAACTCTGAAGTGCCTTCTCTCCCAGACAGTAAGAACCAACCCAGCTTCTCTTTATTCCCTCTGAATGTGTCAAATTATGCCTTGCACCTTGGAAAGCCCATTCCAAACCTTCCCAAGGTGCTGTATTTTCTACCTCATGGAGTGTTCTCCTCCCAGAAATTGCAGTGTATTTTGTAGGGGGTTATCGTTAACCACACAAAGGGATTCTTCTAAGTGTGGCAACAATAAGGCTTGGCTTGAGCCTTCTACTTGGCAGGGTCTTGGTCCTCACAGTTTATTGTCCCTATGTCTTGAAAGTATGTGGAACTGGCAGATGTCATTTTGGTCTTAGAAGCTGACTTGTTTGAAGTTCAATTTTAAATTAAGCTCTTAGTTTGTTCAGCTTGGGGGCCAACTTCAATCTTTATGTTGTATTCTCTCATGTTTACTCAAGGAGGCACCAGCATGATATGGTTGTCCTAGGTTACCATTTGTAAAGGCTGAGGGTATGAGATATTGGTTTCCCTCTCTGACTCTTGGAAACTGGCTGTTCTCCATTGGAATGATGCTTTGTGGAGCCATTGCCTTGAGGTGATAAATAACCAGGCACTTAAAATTGGGCCAGGGACAAGGTGCTTGAGTCTCAGGCTCTGGAAATGCTCAGATTGGTGCGAGTATTCAGTCACTCATTTCATATATTCCAGATGTATTTTTATAATCGTGTGTGAGACAAATATATGTATATATTTGCCCATGTCTCTCAGGAAGTAGGAAACTAGAAATGGAGAATATTATAACCTCAAAACAAACAAACAAACCCCTTGACCTGGGCGGAAAATTAGGTAAGAGACGTTTGCTTATCCGCAAATGAATCATAGTAGAAATATGATCAGGTGTCATTGAGAAACCTTGTTTTCTGGTGAGTACTGGGACAATCATAGATCTTTGCGGTGAGGACTAAGTTGACCCCCTTAAGTTTTTCTGCTTAGCAGACAGGTGTGACAAGTTTTGGCATCTCTCCCCACTGCTGCATAGGTGAGGCTTGTCCTGAGAACATCCCACAGCAATTTGAGATCATTCCTGAGGCCTTTAGGATGATCCTGTCTCCAGGGCTGAGTCAGCTGGGGGAGACCGGGGACTACTGAGTAGCCGGTATTGCTACCAGGTTAATGAGCTTGACAGGTTCTTTGTCTCCCCCAATTCTTGTCATGGAGGAAGCAACAGCCAGGAAATAATTTCAAGTGTAGTGACTATGCTGACCCAGTGGTGAGCCCCTTAGATTCTCCGCCAGTCTCCCTGATGTATAGTTTAGCTTTAACTTTCAAGGATAGGGTGAGCACCTAGTCCAGGGACTACCCCTTGGCTTCCTTTGCAAAGGCTATGTACTCCATCACTGCTCAGCACTCAGACAGAGCCTCTTACCCATGGCTATGAAGTCGGGACAGTGGACAGGCTCCAGCAACAAGGGAAGACAAGCTCTAATCACAGGGCTTTGTTGAGCCCTGGGGCTTAGTTTGGAATACAAATGAAGGTTTTTTTTTTTTTTTTTCATTTGTATTTTTTAAATGTAAACTTGATTATTTTTTTGAAATTTAAAAATAAATTACTTTATATTGATTGTGAAACAGTTCTGGCTCTATTTCCCTGCAAAATAGTGGTTGGGTGCCACCATGTGGTGGTTTTTGTTTAGGTTTTGGAAAAAGGGTTAAAATCCTTTTTAACCATGTGCCAGACCAGATGGAGCAAAAGTTCTAATTTTTGAAAATGGTTTAACTCTCAAAGAATACATTGAACTACATTTGACTTTCAGGTTTAAGGTACTCCCACCAGGAATTTGGTTCACTCGTCGTGGGTATCTGGCTCTAGGAGAGAAAGGGGATAACTCTCATGTGATGGGATCCAGAAGGCAGAACAACATACTAAACACCCTTAGAGATTGCTGTTGATCTAATTTTGAATCTCTCGCCTGAAAGCAATGCTTCTATTCACATCCTGGGTTCTAGAAGCCAGATCCATCTCCCTTTCCCTTCACATCTTCCTCCATGTCTGGATCCACTTTTGTCTTCCTTCCCTTGCAACTCTGCACAGTGACGCTGCTTCTCACATGCTTTTTCTTTCCTTGTCTGGTTGAGCAGAAGAAGATCATGATCATGATCTGCTGTATTATCCTTGCGATCATCTTAGCTTCTACCATTGGGGGCATATTTGCCTGAAAAAGGTGAGCCAGCTGTGGGGAGGGTGGGAGGTACTTTCACTTACGTTTATGTCCAGAGGGCATTTGTTGTTTGTAGCTGGGTTCCCCAGATTTGGGTGGGATTAGGTGGTAGAATAGATAAAGGCTGGAGAGAACTAAGGAAAAGTTTTCATAGAGAGAAAAATGTGTTAATAATGAGTTGGCAGTAGATGGGGAGGCAGGTGGCAGTCTGTTCCATAACCAGGGCTGGTAGCAGAATGCTCTGTTTAGAATGCTTTGTAGAAGGATGTTGATTTCCTGCAGCAAAATCTGGGCAGTGGTGTCTGCGAATGGCTAAAGGAGAAAGAATTAGTTCTTGCATTGGAAGCACCCCAAACTCCTTAGAAGGAGAGAGCCAGCCAGTAAATCCAGAGTAAATTAATTTCCTCTCTTTGAGGGTTCAGACTAGTTAGTGCAGACTCGCTGAGTAGACTCTTTGCCACTGCAGGGGAAGGACTTGGTGATCTTGGCTTCGGACATCCTGTTGTATAACCTGTGATTTTCTTCCCCCTCCGTTCTCTCCTGCAGTCCTCCCTGACGGAGCCTCGGTCGGCATTTTTCATCCTTCTTTCACTTCTGTGGTGCCATCACTTCTCCACTGCAGATTCCTCAACAGCTACTCCTCTTTCCATTATGAAACCTATGACACAGGGTGTCCAACAACCACCTGTTGAAAGTTATGCAAAGGTAGACTTAGGACAGTGCAGAACTGGGTCGGGGCAGGGCTGAAGGAACAGTTTGCACAGCAACATGAGACTGGTTAGGAAGATGGGTGTCCAGGAGGGCTGTGGGCTGGAGAATACGTGCCTGTCCAGGAAATAAAACAGAGCCAGGCAGGTATTGGAGCACACCCAGCTCATCAGCACTTCATTTTCTCTTTGATCAACACCAGGCCCTTGTTACGTCTGCTCTTCAGGTTCTTCTAGGTCTCACCTTTGACCAGCCCTCCATCTACTTCCTTCTTCAGGGTCTGATAGTCTGAAGTGAAGATGATCTAACCATAGGCGCCATGCAGGTCTTGCTCACAGCAGCATCCCCAATGCTTAGCACAGTGCCTGCCACTTACAGATGTTCAAGTATCAGTTGACTTAATTACCTGTAATTAAGCTCTGATTTCTGCTAACGGTTGAGTCCCTGGGTTTTACTCCGAAACCTTTTAAGGCATCAGTGGTAAATGGGTTTGTTAGTATCAGAGGCTGTGTGCAAATACCTGGGAAGGGGCCGATTCACTTATGCAAAAATAGGACAGGCCTCCCTTTACTGTGACATATAAGGTCCTTTTTTATGGGTGGTGTTGGAGTTGAGTCTCTCACTCTGCAAAGATTGGATGGCCCCAGGATTGGGGTTCAGTAACTCAGTGTGGATCCCAAACAAAAGAAACAGGTTTATACCACAAATGAACTCCCAACAGTCATCAGCACCATACTCGTGACCCGTAACAGAGATGAGAGGTCAAGTCAGAGAGGTGACAGGTGGCTACCACTCCCATCGTTTCTTAAGATGGTTCGTGGTGCTGAAACTGATTTTGTTGGCCAGCAATGTGTGTATAAAACTGTCCCAAACAATGGCCCCAATTCAAGGTTCAGATGTGTTCTAATGCAATCTAGTAATTATATTACAAGAGCTTCACTAAAAATACATTAAGAACCACCATGGACAACTCTTGAGGACCATGTAACTGTTTAGATATATTTGTACTTTTGAAAGTAGATTACTTTGTGGGACTTTTTAAGAAAGTGGGATTAAACTGGTAAGAACAGGTAACTATATTTGACCTTAGCCAAAAGTGGGATTAAAAAAAAAAAAGCTGGTATTTCAAGTCAGTGTGCTGTTTTCTACCCACTTTCAAAAGCAAATGGTTTACTATTTTTATCCATTTGTATTTCTTTCAGTTTTATAGGGGATAGAAAACTGCTGGCTAGCTCTGGAAGAGATGAATCTTGTTAAAGACAGACAGGAAGGTGGAACCATGGGGATCTGAAACACATGGGGCCTTTATTCATCCAACAGTACCTAGTTGAGTGCTGTGTGGCACACTGCACCGTCCTAGAACCTGCAGGGAAGCAAAGGTAGAGCCAAACACTCACCCTCCTCAGAGAATTTCAGACCTAGGAAAGGCCAGACAACAACCTTTATCAAAGTTCCTTGTGTTAAAAGGCAACGGTATGTTCCTTACCGTATTGTCCAACATCCCCCTTTGACTTCCAAGATTGAGAGATGGGTAGCTGGACATAAATAAATATCTGTTCAGTCAATTAACGTATGTACTGCTTTTTTTTTTGTGCTTTCCAAAAACTTTTGTAACTATTAAAGATAGCAACTAGCTCCTGTACTATAAAAGGTAGTACAGAATTCTCCCACTGTCCAAAAGTAGAGCATTCCTAAACTGAAATGATGTACAGTGAAAATTTGAGAAAAACAGGTACTGATGTAGCTCTTTGGTAAAAGTGAAGCAATGTGAAGCAGACTTTGACAGCAGGGAAAGCCGTGCAGATATTAAATCCAACTTACACCAGAGGTGGGAGATGGAAGCATTTGTTTCAGCCCTGAAGACATTAATCTTACAGCTGGGGAGAACTGGACCCCCTAACAGTCAGTGAAGCCAGCATCATAATCATTTAAGGATTAAGAATGACCAATGAAAAGTTACATCCTGAGGTGATACTCAAACTTTATTTGATATAAATATAATGCACTTAAAAAAAAATCAACAGATACTCTACAATTTTTCAGAAATCATTCACTCATATACTGTTCCTCGGTTAGATCTCAGAGCCACCCAAAGACTGTAAGGGTAGGCTGAGGGGAATCAAAATGTAGATTCTTTCTCTTGGTAGCCTTTGTACATTTATGTCTCCCATTCTCACTACACACGTTCAGGCATATAGAACTTGCCCCAGTACCGCCCCTTCTGGGTCAAGTCATACGGGCTCAGGACTTTCCGTATCCCAAGCATGTTGGCAGTGGCTATGCGCTCAAAGGTCCAGGGGTTTTGGTTGTTCTGTTCCCGTTCCTCCTGATCTTTCCGCATCTTCTCAAGAGTCTCACGGCTCACGGCCTTTGCTGGGAAGGGCAACTTGTGGGCAACCTGGTCCAGGAAACCTTGTACCTCTTTAAATTCACAACGCCCACCCACCTCTACTATGAGACGGCCAGCCTTCACAGGAGTCACGTAGTGATCAGTGGCACCTTTGCCTCCCCCCATGCGCTGTCCCATACCCTTGCGGGTGATGGGCTTGAAAGGGGCTGGTACTCTCCATAAAGCAAACATGTTCTTGGGGTCCATAGAGCGGTTGATTGTCAGGCGCATCATTTCAAAATGGCCCCAATGGAGGTAACCACCACCCAGTGCCTAAAAGTGGATGGAAGAATTAGAAATATGTGAGGACTTAGTTATCTTTTATGCACTCTTTTATAGTAACTGTAGCTTCAATGATATACATAAAAATAAAAAATTCTACTACGTACCATGGAGGAAAAGCCTAGGGTACAGTAATAAATGAAAACAAGGTGGACCCATTTCAATGGATAACCAGGGAAGGCCTTTTTGAGGAGGTGATATTTATTTAAAAGATTTTATTTGTCAGACAGCAAGTGAGCGAGAGAGAGCACAAGCAGGGGAAGCAACAGGCAGAGGGAGAAGCAAGCTCCCCGCTGAGCAGGGAGCCCTATGTGGGGCTCAATCCCATGACCTGAGCTGAAGGCAGACGCTTAACCAACTGAGCCACCCAGGCATCCCGAGGAGGTGATATATATTTATTATTATTTTTATTATGTTAATCCTACATCATTAGTTTCTGATGTAGTGTTCCATGATTCATTGTTTGCATGTAACACCCAGTGCTCCATGCAGAACATGCCCTCTTTAATACCCATCACCAGGCTAACCCATCCCCCCACCCCCCTCCCCTCTAGAACCCTCAGCTTGTTTTTCAGAGTCCATAGTCTCTCATGGTTCGTCTACGAGGAGGTGATATTTAAAGCTGAGACGAGAATGGCAGGAACTAGTTAAGGGAAAACACAACAGTTAAAGGCAGAGGAATGGCCTGGTGAGTGTGAGCAGAAGCCAGAGTGGCTGGAGTAGAGTGAGGGACAGGGTGTGGACATGAGAGGCTGCCAGGGGCTGATCAGCAGCCTGTGGGAAGGGCTGTAAAATAATCGCTCTGGCTGCCTAATGGGCAATCAATCCTAGTCCACACCCATTTGTGCAGCTACTGACATCAAGTCTCCAGGGAAGCTACTCTAGGAAGGAAACTGCTATCTCACATCCTAAGTCATGGATAGTTTTATTTTCACCAGAGGCCTAAGAAGATTTCATAGTCTGATTATAGGGGCCAATTAGGTAGCCTTCCTTCTCCTGTTTTTACGTAATTTTCACTTGACATGAAAAAGAAAGACACACAACTCAAATGTCTACTGGGTAGTGCACATCAGTTTAAACAGCAAATGGTGGCAGTTCAATAAAACCCGTAGAGGATGAGAATGAACTCCAAGGGCATGAGATTTTGCTAGTCCTGGCTTCCATCCTGCAGCTGCTTGACAACTCACTTACCAAGATTGCAAAACTGCCTTCTGTGAACTCAGTAGCTTCAGTAGAAGGTCCCCGGATGTCACTCAAGTTCTTAGGTTCCCTTCTCACTTTTGGCACGAGTGGTACCCTTTCAACAAATCTAAGCTTGGGCTTTTCAGGAATGGAAACATCTAAAAGGAGCACAGACAACCAAGAAGAAATAAAACCACACATCTCAAAGGATCCATTTTCTTCCTAGAAAGATTTATATCAATCAAGTGGAAATCTTAAAGTTACCACTGAAAAGTAATTTTAAAAGTACATTAGGTTTTTCCTGTGGATGCTTTTTTATTGACACTGGAATCTCTGGGTTATGATGAGTATTAATGGAGAGGTTTCTGAACCTTTGAAGATAATAAAGTTTTAACCTTCAAAGGAAATGCTCTCTGCCTAACACTAGAAAAGAGACCATCTGGGAAGGTACAGAGATTAAGACTGTCACAGATAACACTGGCTAACTTTTTTTTTTTTCCCAATGTTTACTAAGTGCTAGACATTGAGCTGAATGCTTGATGTGCAGTATCTCAATCTTTAAAACAACTTTATAACCCTGATAATTTTTTAAGGCTTCCCTTTTTAAAAAAATGTTGAACTTCTTAAAGTTTAACATACATAATCAAAGGGCCAAATAAAAAATGTACAAGTCAGGGAATTATCACAAAGTGAATGCAGAAACACACCCATATTAACGGTCACCCTGCTCAAGAAACAGAACATTAGGCAAGTACCATTTTAAATCTCCATTTTATAAAAGAGGAACCTGAGGCCCAGAGACATTTTATAATCTGGTCTAGGCCATCCACTGAAAACAGCAAAGCCAGACAGTATGACTTTTTTTTTTTTTTCCAAATACTACACAGCCTCTCTGGATGTTAACAGAGGTGGTAGAAAGAACACTACACTGTACATGAAAATATCTAAGTTCTGCTCTGCCACATTCTTGTTAGGAAACCTACAACCTAGGAATCCTCTGATCTATGGTGTATTTCTACAGGGGCTTTTCATGCTGACACCTGTAATTTCCTACAACGTGCAACAGCTTACTATGTTGAGGGCTGGTGGATTGAAATGCACGCCAGACACGGTACATCTTTCTCATATCGGACATTCTGACAAGTTGGGGGAAAAAATTATTAACTTCTAAGTCATTTAACATGTCTATGGTAAAAAAGGCATGGCTTTATCATGGAGTCAAATATAAAACAGGAATCTTCAAGGAAATACCAAATTATCAACTGGCTAACAGGCTTATAGAAACTGCCACCTGCTCTCCTCCACTTTTTTTTTTTCAAAGATTTTATTTTATTTTTTTAAAGATTTTATTTATTTATTTGACAGAGAGATAGAGAGCATAAGTAGGCAGAGGGAGAGGGAGAAGCAGGCTCCGCGGGGCTCGATCCCAGGACCCTGGGATCATGACCTGAGCCGAAGGCAGCCCCTTAACCGACTGAGCCACCCAGGCATCCCTCTCCTCCGGTTTCTATAATTACAGAGAAATTTAGTGATGCTGTCTCTCACCTCCAAATCCATATGTACTTCCAGAGCATTCAGTAGTTTCACAATTAGTTGTAGAAGATAAAACCCTCAGAGGTCAAGAACACTTTTGTATTTTTTTGTTTGCTTGTTTTTGTTTCTTAAGATTTCCAATATATTAAAGACATGGTAAATTATATTTACAAAATTGTGGTCTATCTCAACGTTTACATTTAACAAGTGAATGCTTTTCACATACAGTTATATGACTGCATACATGTAACATCCTTTAGGGAGAACATCAGAAGTTCAAATTTGATGGCAATTAGCCCCGGCTCGGGGTGGACCAGCGCCACACAGTGGGAGGCCATAGGGGAGATACCCCATTACACAGTTGCTCGTAACAGCAGGGACCTTTGTGGCTCTCTCGTTCTCTGCTATATCCCGACCGTTTACAACACTTCTTGGCATACAGCATGCCCCCGATACATATTCACTGAGCAACTGAACGGAGGAGAGGAAGCAGAAGAACTCGCCTACCGTCTTCCAGGTCCCATCAGAGAAAAGACAAACACGAAAGTGACACGAGTTCTCACCCTCAAAAGTCGGCACCGGGAGCAGCGTCTTTAGGCCAGCACTGGCGGGCAGGACGGCCCAAGAATCTACAAAGGCAAATCAAATTAAAATCCGAAAGCGGTTAAGACCTGGGCCTGGTACGACACAGACCAAAGTCAGTCCTGACGGAGTGCCTCGATGATGGGCCGCGGGTTCAGCTCAACGGGCTCACAGGCCCAGCACCAAGCCCCACCCCAAGGAAGCCAGCAGGGGTCTCCGAGCGTCGACCCCCCGCACGAATAACCGCGGCGGGGGAGCGCGGCCCCTACTCAGCTCTGCGGCAATGGTCGGCGGAGTCGGCTAGGCGCCGCACTCGGGGTGGGGAGGTCTTCTGAGGGACCGAGGGCCGCCTGACCTGACAGCCGCGCTCTCAGGAGCGGCGCTCCGGCTCGAGCCAGCAGCCGCCACATGACCACGCGAGTCCAGCCGCCACGGAATTCCCAAAGCAAACGCAGCGACTCCCTCGACTCGGCTGGGCCGGAAGTTACGTTCGCACGGGTCCGTTCCCCAGAGAGTCCCGGCGGAAGCGGAAGAAACCGGGCCGCGTCGCCTGCGTTCCCGCGCCGGCGTGTGCTAGCCACGCCCAGCGCCGCTTTAGGCT